AGTAAAGAGTAAAAGTAACTAGATTCATACAGTTTCTCAAAATATTGTTATGCTGTATCTACACGTTGAAGCACTACAATGACTTGAGGCTGTATTCACTGGATGTGTAAAAAGGAACTTTTCAAATCCATTTCTCCTGTTGGTGGAAGTAGTGCAAGCACATGTTGTACATCAGAAATAAATTGAGGCATCCATTTATTGTCAGTGATTCTGCGTTATAAAAAGCAACACGTTCATTGTAGACAGCATTTGAAATAATTGATTTCATCTTTTCTCTTTATTCTTTTAGTTTTTAATGTTTTATTTTTTTCCCTTTTATTTACTTCTTTAAAAAATAGTATAGAACTTTATTATTCACCATTTATCAGCCAACATTTTAGTATTTGCGCATCTGATCATTTAGAAAATTAATACTTTGTTAAAGGCTGTCAGTGTAGCTTTCCAGTGTACTGTGTTCCCAACTGTGTCTTTTTGGCCAATTGAGATTGTTGAACATGTGGCGAAGGCTGTCTGTGAGAGATAACTCTGACTGGCTGTTTAGCTTAGCAAACTAGTGCAAGAGAAGGAAAGTGACAAAAGCATGCGAATGATGAAGAAGACAAATGGTAAGCTGCTTTGTTTATGGTTTGTATATCCACAGTCTGGTTTCCCTTTTTGAAATCTGAATATAGACTACTCCCACCTGCTGGTATAAAGAGTAATTTCCTCTCACACGGGCACAGAGTGTGCATTCTATTTGGCCGTTGGCAGTAGGGATGGGCGATATCTTATCATTTGCGATATACCGGTAAAAATTCTCCCCACGATAAGAATTAGTTTCCCCGCGATAATAACGATAAAGTCTAGTTGTTGACATATTTCTGTGTGCGACAATGCGGAGTGACAATGCGGAAGGCGGACGTGAAATTGAGGAGGAATAGCCTATATCGCTAAATGAGGAGCTCGAGCTCCTTTTACCAACCTGTAACTGATTTGGTTAGGGCTGTACAGTGCACAAAAAATCGGTTTGAATAAATGTACTACAGTAGCACGTGTGCGATACAGTTTTGCATGTGTATGAGCCTGTTTACA